GTATATCACTGGCCAGGTAAGAGAGACTCATTCTGGAGGCTACAGAAAGCTGGCAGATTAAACCCTGGAGCCTCTCTGGATATGGAGTGGGTAGCTTGCTGTCTGCAGCGGCCTGAAGGGCATTAGAAACCAATATGCACTTAATGCGATCTACAACTCCATTTCTGGGGTTATTGTTCTGTATGCGATAACAGCAAACACGGAAACGCAAGTGTGTGTGTGTGTGTGTGTGTGTGTGTGTGTGTGTATTCAGCTAGTTGTGTTTGCGGGGGTTGAGCTTTGCTCTTTCGGCCGGCCTCTCAACTGTCAATCAACTGTTTCACTAACTACTTCCCCCCCCCCCACACCACACACACACACACACACACACACACACACGCACCAGGAAACAGCCCGTGACAGCTGACTAACTCCCAGGTACCTATTTACTGCTAGGTAACAGGGGCATTCAGGGTGAAAGAAACTTTGCCCATTTGGTTCTGCCTCGTGCGGGAATCGAACCCGCGCCACAGAATTACGAGTCCTGCGCGCTATCCACCAGGCTACGAGGCCCCTCTAGGTATGTGCGCGTGCGTGCATGCGTGCGTGCAACGTACACAGTGTCCATGTGTACTTGGGGAAACTAGTTTATAAATAATAATCAGTTCATTTGAATACAGAGAAGACAACTTTCCTTAAGCGACGCAGCACTGAGCTGGCTAATGAAGAGTCGGCATAAGAAGAAAGAGGAGGAGGTGGCGGCCTTGTGGTTTGTCAAGGAACACCAAAAGGCTTCCAAGGACTGTCAGCATGCAGGACCTGAGTCAATATGGAGGCTCGAGCAGCAGAGAAACAGACCTAAAAGTGGAAAACATTTGGAGAAAGAGGAGGAGGAAGAGCTGGAGGAGGAAGAGGAAGGAAGACATGTCGAAAAGAATGTCTGTTACTGAAATAAAACATCGACTGTCGACAAGATTTTTCACGCATGCTAAAGGGAACGATGACCAGAATACATTGACGACCACTTTACATTAATTTCACTAATGAAGGTCACATTAAGTCTCATTAAAGGTCACATTAAGGTCACCAGATCACCAGGTCGAACTTATGTTTAGGCTGTAGGTTACTAGGTAGAAGCCTTATATGGGATGTAGGTCACTAGATAGAAAACTTATATGGGCTGTAGGTCACTACATAGAAGCCTTATGTGGGCTGTAGGTCACTACATAGAAGCCTTATGTGGGCTGTAGGTCACTACATAGAAGCCTTATATGGGCTGTAGGTCACTACATAGAAGCCTTATGTGGGGTGCAGGTCACTACATAGAAGCCTTATGTGGGCTGCAGGTCACTACATAGAAGCCTTATATGGGCTGCAGGTCACTACATAGAAGCCTTATGTGGGCTGCAGGTCACTACATAGAAGCCTTATGTGGGGTGCAGGTCACTACATAGAAGCCTTATGTGGGCTGCAGGTCACTACATAGAAGCCTTATGTGGGCTGCAGGTCACTACATAGAAGCCTTATGTGGGCTGCAGGTCACTACATAGAAGCCTTATGTGGGCTGCAGGTCACTACATAGAAGCCTCGTGAGGGCGCGACAGATCACTTGGTCAAGATAAACATAGGAGAGAATCTAGGGTGAGTTCTATTGCAGAAAAAGACCGAATGTCTATACAAATCCTTTAAAAATAAACAGAATGTTCTTATGATTTAGTTTTATAGTTATACTTTGTAGTCTCTCTGTGTCTGCCTCTCATACGCTCACAAGCACATGCGCCAACATCTTCCCTTCCTCAGTAGACAAACACACTCACACCGACATCCTGAGGAGCAGAATTTAATTCCTACTATCATTTGAACTAAGTCCATACCTTCCTTCGATCATTTAGAAGGATTGTGTTCCAACGAACGCCTCTGATAACACAACCGCGTCCCTCGAAGTTCGAGCTCTGCTTTCATTGCTTTTCAGCTGCTCAGCACCGCGGGGACTCGTCAGGACTTCAGACAAATACGTTTCGCAGGTCGAAGTAGTTGGGACGAATGTCTTCAGATTGGGTGAATTAATGGGTGGTTAGAAGCGTGTCAAAGCGAGGGTGTGTTTGCGTTTGAAGGAGTGTAGGTGCAGGCTTGAGTGTGGGGTGTACTTAGTCATGTCTGAACGAAACATGTTGTGCACTGATTTATCCAGATTTTTTCAAGTGCTTTGGCATATCTGATTTAATGTTACGGCTTTAGCTGTCCTCTACCACCTCAAAGAGGGCAAATCCTAAATCTGTGGCCTTAATACATAGTTTAAAAAGCACATATAATTAAGTTAATTTCAGTTTTTCAGGTTTTTTTTTTCTCATTACACTATTCGTTATTTAAAGGAACCGTTTATCAAATCGTCTCATCCCATTGTTATTTTTTCCGTTTTGCCTCCATCCAGGAAGCGGCTGATGAGATCATTCGGGAAAACTACGAAGCTCTTTTAATTCTATGGTAAATCATACAGCAAACCACTTTTCTAGTTATCTTCTTTATATAGGAAGCTCAAAGCTTCTGCTGCACAATACAGCACTGGCATCACGAACGTGATAAACAGACCTTTGGGAAAATATCTAGTGTATAATCCTTAAAATTGGCTGAAAGTTTGTAAGTCTTGTATAACTTGGTTGATTTCCTGTTTAGGTGTGTGTCTAGTAAAAGGGCTTCGTGTTATATTATATATTTTGTTTCTCTGGGTCTGATCTCCATTTGCATGTCTCTATTATCTATACGTTGTATTGTTTTCAGGATTAAAGTTAAACAGCAAATTTTCAGCTCATTCGTGCAGTTTATTCGGTCCCTACTGGACATTTTGAAGTGCGTGTGTGTACGCGCGTGTGTGTGTGTGTGTACGCGCGTGTGTGTGTGTGTGTGTGTGTGTGTGTGTGTGTGTGTGTGTGTGTGTGTGTGTGTGTGTGTGTGTGTGTGTGTGTGTGCTCGCGCTCGCGTGCAAGACTACACAATAGTGAGAGTATGAGCGCCTCTCTGTCGGAGTGTGTCAGATCCAATATCAGTAAGTGCCAGCATCAGAAATAGACGCAGGAACTTTCCCCAACATGTTATCCAACACCACAAGTTCGACAAAACTAAACTTTTTCCCAAATTCACCATATTCTCAATGATTTCCGTTACCATTTAATTTTAATCTCAATACAAATAACAAGGGACAGGAAAACACTAATTTATTTCGATGTCATAGAAGATTCATGACACTTACCGTCTGCGAGCGAGGTGTGAGAGCAGGAGGCGGCAGCAAGCAGGACAATACAAGTTCTCCACAGCCAGCTACAAGCGACTGCTCCAGCGTCTCTATTTCCTAACTCCGTCATGGTCGTGGGTCACGATGTGGGTAAACTGGAATTGGGGGGAGCGAATCGGGTGGAGTGCACTCGTTCGAAGCCTCGCTTTTGTTTCGTCCCACGTGGCTTTGATTATAGTAAACTGTCGTCTCTGGATTTGGGGTTAAATCATGTTTTGATTTTCAGTGATAAATGGCACTTAAATCACGCTAGATCGTTAGTTGATGTTCTCTGGCACATCGTCACTCTAGTCTCTCACTCCTGCCACACCAAACTAATGTGGCAGGATTGTATAAAACGAACTATATATATGTAATTTTTCTCCACAAAAGTTCTTTTTTACATTCCTGAAACGGGAAATTTTCTAACGTTGAAGAACATATAGTCAGAGCGACGTCCGAATTTAGCAATATGGTTTCTTTCTTTGCTGTCCATAATGTCTGTCACACACACACACACACACACACACACACACACACACACACACACACACACACACACACACACACACACACACACACGACCAAAGAGCCAGAGCTCAACCCCCGCAAAGACAACTAGGTGAGTACACACACACACACTCCGATGTGGGGCATGAGCTACAAGGAAAGACTACTGGAATTAAACCTCACATCGTTAGAAGAGTTTGGGGAGCTATTATAATCACATACAAGATTCTGAAGGGAATTGGCAGGGTAGACAAATACAAATTAAGTAGCAAGAGTTGTACACGAACAATGAAGCACAGGTGGAAAGTTAATATCCATATGGATTGCAATAGGCAGTGATGTGGTGGAGGAAGACTCCATACACAATTTAAATTGTAGATATAATAGAGCTCAGTAGGCTCAGGATTGATTGATGGTTGGGAGGCGGAACCAAAGAGCCAAAGCTCAACCCCCGGAAGCAGAACTAGGTGAGTACAACTTAATGCACACGAATTCACACCGTATGTCAGTCATAACACTGTGATAACTTCATAACATTACGTTAAATAAATGTATCCGTCATTACAATTGGTCATATAAGTACGTCTTAAGACTATTTAATAACACTACGTCAGTCATAACGTAATTCCATAACACGTCTTGCATAACACTGCGTCATAACAGTTCAAAACACTATATGATAACACATCATTCCAGTACGTCAGATCTTATCTTCATACCAGTTCATCATTCCAGTATGTCATACCAGTACCAGGAAAATATGACGTGTGTGTAATGATAAGTGACACTACGAATTAGACAGTCCACTGTCTCAAACAAACACACTGTCATATCAACGCAAAAACACAAAACAAACACACTAATTCACTAACGATAACGTTCGCGTTTGGAGAGACGAGTCAGGTAGAATTACTGGCGTTGAGGCATTGAATTTATATATTTTTTCCTTACTTTTTCTTTTAATTTATTTGCCTATTTGAACGGCCTTTTCGCGTGATGTATTATTCAGTTGCATTTCTATTCTCTTTTTTTCGTGTAAGTTTCTGCTCATTTTTTTGCGAAATCACACACACTGTTTTGTATTCAGTTTCTCATTCCTTTTAATCCTACTCTCCCTCGTTTTTTTCCTGTGAGCACCACACGCCCTCGGGTACAACAGTCAATAACAGGAGCACGGTGGTAACGGAGTCTTTTGGGCACGGTGGTAACGGAGTCCTTTGGGCACGCGACAAGTGGAACAAGAACACACCTGCTTTATCTATTAACGTTGCTTATCTTTCGTCAATTGCAATTCTCCACGCGGTCATCAATCTTTTACCCTGGAAAAAAAAGATATTGTTTCATTAATAGAGCGACAGGATTCATTTTATTAATCGTATATTAAAATAGGTATTCTCACGTGTTATGGCTACAATTTAATTCATTGATATGAATAGATTTAATCTCCCAGACACCAGAATATATCCCATTTCTCGAACAGAATACATTTCACCAATAAAACTTTGTTTTTAATTTAATTTACGATATTGTGCAGTGTGGTGGGTCGACCTTGCTAGTAGGTGTGTTGCTGACACAAGTGTTGAGTGTTGTGGAGGCTCTGTGTACAACTTTTTATATATTTTTTGTAAGAGATTATTGGCTTTAGCTGCGGTGCTTATCGACATTTGTTCTCTGTTCTGCTTCAAGAACAAGTGGTAGTGCTGTTTCTGTGTTGAGTTGTGAGTGAGGATTTGCGTTGCTCACTTTTTCTAATAAAATAGATAAATAATATAATACACTAATTCCGTTAGAGTTAACCACCAGTTAAGAAGCTGATTTACAAGAGAATTACAACATACAATACAGGTATTTTACACGAAATACAACTGCATTATCATCATTGTTAAAATGAGTACTAACATCAACACAGTTACTTCATCAACCTACATAGAATCTTGAAGTAATTTTGTATATATAGGAAAATACCTCAAAAATATTGATGTGTATTATTATTAACAAAGTAAGGAGGTCGAGTTGATAACACATTCAGTGTTTACATCAAACACAAATCAGAAACTTCATGAACTTTAGTGGAACCAAACTGATCTAGAATTAAAACTGTGAATAGAATCGGCAGCATCAGACATTGCACCACCGAACACAATCAAGACAATGTAAATAGTGAAAAATCTCTTCAAAAGATTTTAATTAAGAAATACAAATCTAATCCATTTCCTCTTGAACATTTCCTACATCTCGCTATCGTCACAACTCCACCTCACCTTCGCATAATCTTCATATCATTATCTGCATTAACTAGTCTCACATTCTGCACTATTACAAGCAGTTATCCTGTACTGTTTCCTTGTTAAACCTGGCAATCCGTTCTCGCACTTTCGTATAGTCAATATTGACCTATTAAATACGTGCATATGTGACATACTTATACTAGTTCACCTTGAAAAGCTTCATAGAAAACACCGACCTTACCTAACCGTCTTAGTATGTTAAGATAAGCATCTTATTGCTTCGTAATTACAATTATTACTTAACCTATTACAGGTATAGGTTAAGCCAAATATCAATAAAGTCTACCTCAACTTGTGTGTCACTACGTGTATAGCTGCATAATTAATCGAGAAGCAAATTTAAGTACTCGATCGAACAAAGCAAGAATCAAATATAGTATTCCTGCTTGTCCAGACCGTCTTTCTTTGGTTTCCCAATGTCAAGAAAATGGTCAGTTTAAAGTGTCTCTCCTAACCTGCCAGAGGACCCAAAACAGAAAACAGGACAGTACGTTACTTTTACGAATCGCTTACATTTTCTACTACGACAATTTTTGGCCTTATGTAACGCATACGAGTGAAAAGCGACGTTCTTTGTAGGATGACAGGTTGACTTGCGAATTTTGACAATCATGCTATGAACTGAGATTTAGTCAAGTGTGTTACAACAATAGCTTTCTTGATATAAGTTTGATATTATCAGCCCTCATTAATCACTCCAGTAATACTCTCAATATCAGCCAAGGAATCTTCATGATAGATATCATGTCTTATAAGCAAAATCATATGATTAAATTAGTTTTTTAGTTTTCATTCTCTGCCCGGTAAAGTTTTGACTTTTGTGTTGTTAAGGAATCATCTTACCGTACAATACTGAGATATATATCTCCCATAACGTAATAATTTTATTTGTATTTTCATTTTATCCTTAAAACAATGACGTGAAATAATTTAGCCTGCCTGTCTAATAAGACAATGATTTTTCTTCCTACTTTAATCCATTATTTTTGTCTTGGTTCAGTTTAGATAACGTAGTAAAAGTTTACTATACTTCTATCATATTGAATTTTACTCTTTAACCCTCTGTTTCTGCTCTGAGTCACTTCAATGTTTACATAAATTATTCATCCTTCGTTCTTGCTGCTTCTGTTCACACGCTGGTTACTGAACAACTTCAGTGTTTAACTCTGTTTATTGCTTTGTTCCATTCTCACACTGACCTTCCGTAGGAATTTGATTAAGCCCGATAATTTATATTGATTTTCTATTCAATATAAATTGTCAAAGAAATTCTGCTATGCATACAGATCCAAAACAACTGTTTCGTAGCTATTTTGAAAATAAAATGACATGGATGAACCAATGACTAAATTAAAGAAGGTGGAAAGAAGATACGAAAAACAAAAAGATTTACGAGTAGCTCAAGTCCAGCTTCTGGTCGGCCTTCACGACCGAGCATTAACTGATATTGATACTGAAGCAGAGGAAGTAGCAAGAGATCAAGCATCACTTGATAGGCTCGTCTGTCAGTCACCATGGATGCTGGAAGAACCTAGACAGACTGAATATTCTCATTATATTTTAAAAATAAATAGAACTTCGATACAGGATTTGGCTTGTTGATAATCATTAACATCTAGAAGTGATAAAGTCAGATGAAGGGGACTTCAGCGCACGCACACACACACACACACACACACACACACACACACACACACACACACACACACACACACACACAAAGAACTTTTTCAGTGTCAGAGTAGTTAACAGATGGAATGCATTAGGCAGTGATGTGGTGGAGGCTGACTCCATACACAGTTTCAAATGTAGATATGATAGAGCCCAGTAGGCTCAGGAACCTGTACATCATTTGATTGACAGTTGAGAGGCGGGACCAAAGAGCCAGAGCTCAACCCCCGCAAGCACAAATAGGTGAGTACACACACCCACCAGTAAGAACTTAGTCAATGTTAGAGCTGTCAATAAATTGAATAGATTAGATGCAAAAGTGGTTGAAGCTAATGCCATTAAAAATTGTCAATGTAAATATGATACAAACCTAAAAAATAAGTCAAAGTATTAACCTAAGAACGTTCGCAAGGCGGGGCTAGGAACCGAGCTCGGCCCTGCACGCACATCTAGGCGAGCGCGTGCACACTCACTCACTCACACACACACACACACACACACACAAAACACATCACTGTCGATTTTTCCATCAAACACGAGTGCAGGCGAAAATAGCCGAACCTTTGTCTGAGTCAGCTGTTTTAAAAGAGCGACTCGTAGCTCAGAGGTGCAGTGGGGAATTCAGCATTCAGTTAATGGATCCCTTCGCTGTGTATTTTAGTAGATGTTGCTTTGGCCACCAGAGTTATCACCATGACAAGGGAAGTAATTGCTTCCTAAATTATCATGTAGGAAGTTCTTGTTGCCATATAGACCAGTTATTGCACGTGGCTCTCAAATACATATATCTATGTGTGTAAATCACGAAAATTAACACGTGATGGAAAAATGAGTGTCAGACCATGGAGGAAGAATTGAAACAGGAACTTCTTTAAGTACTTTCGTAAATTAATACATCTTCAGAAGGAATGTATACGTTCCTTCTGAAGATGTATTAATATATTTCTTTTGAAGATGTATTTTTATACGAAATAACTTAAGGAAATTCCTGTTTCAATTCTTCCTCCGTGGTCTGACACTGTCACATATAGCTATACCTATAACACACACAGCCTGTCTGTCCGAGGCTTGAGGGCAGACGTTTGGAACGTCACCCAACTTGTCAAGATGACACATGGGGGGTATGGGAGTGTTAAGTATCAGTCGGGGTTGAAAGTAGTGCCACATTTCAAGAAATATTGCCATTCATAGCGACCGCTTTTGAGATTTTCAGATACAGTCCGAAATAGACGTTGTATTTTTTGTAACGTTATCCAGCAGTTTGTGTTTCATAGAATTAATTTTCTGAGAGAGATCTGAGAGATGGGAAGGTGGGAGAGAGAGAGAGAGAAGTACAAGGTAGAGACGGGGAGGTGAGGATGGAGAGAGAGAATATTGAGAGAGGGAGGGAGCAGAAAGATGGAAAAGAGAGAAGAGGAGCGAGGGTGGAGAGGGAAGGTCAGGGGTGAGAGAAAAGGAGAAGAGAGAAGAGGCGAGTGTAATTGGGAATAGAGATATGTTGGAGAAGGTGGGTAGAAAAGTGTATATAGGGAGAGGGTAGCAAAAGTATGAAAAGGGGAATGGGGGAATGTTGAGGGAGGAAGGGATGGAGAGGGGAAGAAAGAGGAATGAGAAGGCAAGATTGTAAGAGAGAGGTTGGAGAAAGAATAGACGGAGAAGATTACAGATCTGAAGAAGAGAAGGTGGAAAGGACTAGGAAAGGTGGAGATCGGGATAGACGTGGAAAGGACAAGGGCAAAGGAGAAGAGGGGGAATCGGGAAAGAGAAGGGTGGATATAGGGAGAGGGAAAGAGAGGGGGATATGACAAGAGAGATAAGAGTGAGTGAGTACTACAACTCCTGATCCAACGCTCACTGTTAAGTAGTTACAGTACGGAACTACTAAGAACATGACTCCAACAGTCCAGGTTCGAATCCAAGAGAGCTCCTGGACTTTACAGTTGATCAGAGGTTTGGGGACCATTCAAGCTATACACATGCTTGATATACACTCACATATATTAGCATATATGGGAGTGTATATATATGCAAGATAGCTCACATAACCAAAAAATAGGAAAAAATGCAATAACGTTGAGAGAGATTGGTATGGAAAACGGAAATTTGGGTGGAAAATGCGAAGCACAAATACAAGAGCAATGTCAGAAGGCAAAGGCTATAGCTTGCTATTAATCACAATAAGTGATGATGGTAGTGAATTTCTAGCTTGGCTTCTGACACACACTACGTAGGGGAGAAGCACGTATCAGGGAGGGTAGCTACACGTATCAGGTGTGGGGAGTCATGTATCAGGTGGAGGATCTCAGGTATCAAGTACAGTAGTCAAAGTATCAGGTGAGGAAATAGTAAGTATCGAGTAA